CATGCAAAGACAGTGTTAAATTGAGCGAAATGAGGAATGGCTAAAATGCATGATCTGTTTGGTATTTTGAAAAATAAAAAGTATAAATATGCCTTATATAGGTATGGTCCTACACTATATTATTCAAATATAGCATGATAGGTCCACTTTAAAGTGATGCATCTGTATCTTATTCTATCTCAACACCAATGTCATAAACCCGAATGAAAAATACGATACTGACTTTATGGGAGCGGCCGCTGAGGTGGAGGAGGCTGAAGAACCGCTGATGGTGCCGAACTTCTCCTGGCGGCGACGGACGTCACGCGGCGGCTTGGCCACAGAATTCACAAACGCCATCTTTACCTGCCGCCCTGCCAGGACAAACACAACACCAGCACTGAAACACTAGCACATTAACAAATACACTTCAACAACAAATGGTGATTTTTGTATAGATATTAATGGAAGAAGGCTTTTGATTAGAAACTTGTTTTTGGATTAATTTATGATTCACTTACGATATTGTTAGTTCTAAAAAGTTATAATTTTCTATTGTTGTTTTATTAATCAATTAATTTAATTTTAAAAACATTTAATACGTTATTCTGTTTTATTTTAATTGTATTTAACACTAACTGTATTGTTGTATAGCTTTAAAATTATATTTTATTTTTTGGGGGAAATTAAGAATTAGTTTCATTTTTTTTCATTGCCTCCGTACATTTGCTTTAAAGTGTTACTTTTTGACTTGTTTGTAACATTTTAGTTTAACGGTGTACTTTTTGATCTTTTTTGGGCTTGTCAGTCATCTGTGAAGCCCTTTGAACTGCATTAAACTGTATAAAAAGGTCCTTTACAAATAAAATGTGATGTATACATTGCTGCTCATTTTGTCCCAGAGCTTCTCCTACCTTTTGGCTTGTTGGCGTGGGCGGAGGAGATGTTCTGGGTGAGCATCCTGAGGCGCTCCTCACGCTCGTCATGCAGCCTCAGGTACATCTCCCTCCACGACTCGTACTCCTGAGGAGACTCGCGCTTAAAGTCCCGCTGACAGTGACGCATCCACAGCTCGTCAGATTCCTCCGTAAACCACTGCAGCAGAGGAGAACAAAATCAATGCCAGAGCCATCAGTATTCTCAGAATCAGAATCTGTTTTATTGCCAAGGAAGTTTAAACATTCAAGGAGTTTGTTTTGTTATAAGCAAATGCTTAACACACACGTGAATGAAAATAAACCAGGTCAGTTGTTAAATCTCAGCAGTCTCACTTAAAGAGGAAATTGGGAAAAGGATTACCGTAATTTTCGGACTATAAGCCGCGCCTTTTTCCCTATTGTTCGACGCTGCGGCTTATATAACGGTGCGGCTAATCTATGGATTTTTACAGCTAACGGCCAACACCTTTAACTCTATGGGCTCTATGGCCGGTCCGCGGACCCCCACCTTTAAGCGGCGGGTTCCAGCAGGCAAAGCTGGAGGCCGGAAAAGAGTGAGACAGGTAGCGCGCAAAAGTAAAAGTGGAACCGAGAGTGGTATCCCGCTGCTGCGGCTTATATTCAGGTGCGGCTTATAGTCCGAAAATTACGGTAGATACATATATGTTGACATGTGGCAATCTGTAGCTACACTTACCTTCAATTTCTTTAAAAAATGTACTAACACAATTAAGAATTGCTCATAGGCTGCATTGGTCTAAAGTAAAAAGATAGCCACAATTAATATGAATCTTAAATGTGATCTCTGTGGAATCCCTTTCATTAATTATATTATTGATACCCTTGTATAAATGTCCCTTCCCTTACCCGACATGAGTTATTTGTGTGTATATATTATTTATGTTTTGTTAAATGTAACCTTATTTTAAATTGTGCTTTGTAATGTTTAAAATACAACAAACGTGCTTTGTACAAAAATGTCAGGTGTCACTCAGTGTCGAGTCCACCCATAGAAAGAGCATAACACAATGTAAGGTATGATGTGGACAAAGGACATCAGTATTGAAAGTGTTCTGTGTGTTACCTGGTTGCTCTGCTCGATGCGGTACAGCTGCTCCGGAGTGCCTCGCTCCAGCACCGGCTCCAGGATCTCAAACGGCACTCCTCCAACCTCAGCGATGGCTGAAAGAGAACAGAAGCACCGAGTCACATCTGTGCAGCAGGGTCTGTTTGTTCCAACCAGCCACTTGTGTGATAAGGAACAATGCCACAACATCGGTTCTGATTTGTATAAAGTGTTGACTACTGCTACTTTGGGCAAGTATGTAATATTACAAATGTGATTATGTATTTAATGAAAAACCACTTTTTTGGAGAAAAATACAGGATGGTGTTTTTTTAAGGTATTGCAAAGTAAATATTTGTACATGATACATTTTATTTATATTTACACTGCATATGTTTGTGATTTTCAACTTGTCCCCTAAGACAAATGTAAAATATGTGATATTGGGCTATATGAATAAACTTTGATTGATTGATTGATTTGGGAGAATCTTTTTATTTATTTAAAGTGGACCTACCATGCTATATTTGAACAATATATTGTAGGGCCATACCTATATAAAGTGTATAAATATAGTTTATTTTTCAAAATACCAAAACGATCCTGCATTTTAGCCATGCCTCATTTCGCTCTGTCCAGCGCTGTTTTTGCAGGGGGCTGATTCTGTGAGCTGCAGCTGACCACGCCCCCCTGCAGGAGAGGGGAGCGTGTTCTGAGATCAGCTGCTAGGCTGCAGCGGGGAGAAGAGGGGGAGAAAAAGAGATCTCCGTCCTCCGCGTTTTATTCTTATAGAAGTAAGAAGAGAAGTAACGGGGCAGAAACCCTCCTTTTTACGCAGGGGTCCAGACATAGACATCAAACGGCGACACATATTCAGTTGCCAGTTACTTTGGCATTAGGGCAGGGATATCTAGATACTTTCCAAGGTTTGACATAATGAATTGTGCTACTTTTAAAGCAAGCAACGATGTTTTCAAATCTGTAATCAAAAAGCTCCTCAAAAACGCTATCGAAGCAGTTCCTGCCGTTGCTACGTTAGTTCAAACAGTAACAACGGACTATTTTTCTTAGCGGATGCATGTCAATTTAAATCAATACATACAACTATTTTTTAAATCAATAAAATCATTTTATAAA